CTCCCGAGCTCGGAGCTGCCAATTAATCGCCTTAATGTCTCCCTCCTCGCTGCTCTACACCTTTACCTCACCATGAGGGGAAGGGGAGGCAAAGGGCTGATTGAGGGCTACTTCTGGGGAGTTTTAGTGCGTGGGGAGGTGGTGGTGGTGGTGTGGGCAGACTGTAGTGAATGAGAGAGGGATGGACGACAAATGAAAGAGACAGGAGCGGACGAGAGACACCCTCCACCCCCCACCCCCCACCCCCGCTTCCTGTGAACTGGCCTAGGCCCGCTGGCATCAGAGGGTCGACCATGTGCAGAGCGACCCCTCGGCAGAATTCTGCCGAGGGCAGGATGGGCAGGGCAGGATGGGCAGGGCAGGAGGGCTTTCTCCTGAAAGCGAAAAGGCCGGCGAGGCAGAAAATGACAGGAACAAAACTGCGATGAGAAGTTATCGCTTTGTAATTACCGGGGGGGTGAGAGTGCATGCATTACTCTTCGTGAGGATCAGCGAATGCTAAAGGGGGGGGGGGGGGGCGCCGTGATGACTCAGTTCCTGCCTTTGTGCATTTGAAGGAGGGGATTCTCTCAATGACCCTTTCGCCCGTTTCTCTCAAATAAACAAACCCACCAATTTGACTTTTATTTTTATTTGTTTTGTTTGGCGGCGGCAAAATCACCAGCTAGAAATCGGCTCCATCTGGCCGCCGTCCTGCTTGCGGGTTTTCTCGGCGGCAGGCGGTAAGGAGCTGAAACGTTTAAACACGTATTTCGCACTAATTAAACTGTGAGCATTTACAGAGAAGCCGGACTGATGAGACACAGGAGGGGGGTGAGGTTCCAGGATTAAACCACAGAGCAAGAGCAGGGGGTCTTTACGAGCTCACTGCCAAGCAAATCCCAACAGGTGACTAAGCCCCGCTTACTGATTGTATCATCGCAGTGCGCCATGAATGCGCCGAGATGCGCTGCCTTTAATTAGAAGAAGCATTATGTGAAGCGCTCTCAGGCGGAGAGAATGTTCCAAATCAAAGCGTGATGTATACAATAAGCTGATATGGAAGTTTTGGCCAATTAATCTCAGCAGCTCCTGAAAGTACAGCTGCGATAATGAACTGCTGATTTGCATCGGAGTATTTACAAAAAAAAAAATGGGTCTCTTGTAATAAATATGCCCGGAATAATGTGGATGCTTAAAAAGCCGGCTTTGACAAGATACAGCTGGAAAACATTCTGAATATTCATGAGCACCCACACCGAGTCAGACGGACACCTACGCACAGGCGCTTTTCTACCACGGTGCAGCAGATGGCGGGCGCGGAGGCGCCGTTGCCGCCGCATCTTTAGCTCCTTGCTAGAGCTCCGAGCACAGTCAATACCCACTAGCACGCACGGCAGCAGGAGAAAGAGTTGAGCAATTAGAACCCGCAGAGCCGGAAACAAATCGGCATCTTCCAGTGAGGTGCACATTTTCTTTTAATTTTGGCTGCTGTTATCGGCACCAACTGATCCTTCATGGTGCCGTTTCTGTAGCTGTGTATTCATGTAATGCTTTGGCTCTTTGAGGGGTCCACACGGGAGCTCTTGATTGCCTGTATGTGTGAGTGAGTGAGAGAGTGAGAGAGTGTGCTTAGGGGACATCAAACCGTCTTTGAGGTGGAGGACTGTGCTGGAGATAAGGGCCAGATCCCAAGGGGCATCGACAGCTTCAACGGCCTCCACAGAGACAGGAGTGAAGGCTCTCTCTCTCTGTCATTGCCTGCCCGCCCCTCCCTCCCCCGCTTCCCCGCCCCACACACACACTGTGTAAGTTTGTAATGCCCAAATACAAGCAAGTGTGAGATGAAGACTGTAGACGCTCATCAAAGTGAACCTGTTATGCAAAGACTGCCGGGCCATTAATGAGGGCAAACTATTTTCGGAAGCAGTAACTTGGCTGTTTAGAGATTGTGTGATGTGTTCGTCTGTGTGTCTGTGTGTGTGTGTGTGTGTGTGTGTGAATGTGCGTGCGAGAGTTTCTTCATCAAGGTGTTTAGGAGTCCGCGTGCACGAGCGCGCTAGGTGTGAATATGCATCAGTCACTACAAAGACCTGCGCGGTTTTCTCGGAGCTCTTTGAAGCAGCGAAGGGGGAATAATCGGAATAACCAGGGAGGACGGAGGAGAGCGAATAGAGGGTTGCAGGGGAAAAAAAAACAAAATACAGAATTTACGGCAGGTGACTTTCAAAAAGGTAGGTGGGGGGGGGGGGCGTGTGGGTGTTTATCTGTGAGATGTCCCCAGTGAGGCACGGTCAACACGACCTCTGACCCCACCAGCCGCTGCAGGTAAACTGTGGCTTGACGCCAGCGAACAATGCCCACATGTTTCCTGTTTGGTGGGGTCAGAGGGGGGCGGGGAGGGGGGGGGGGGGGTGCGGCTTGTGCATTTGGTTTCCCGTGGCACCGCTGTGTCAACAAAACCCAAGTGGGACAGGAAGGCCGGAGTGTGCTGCGCGTGTGTTTCCTCGTGTGTCCCAGGGCGGCGTTTGTGGGGGAGAAAAGAAAGGGGGGGGGGGAGCTCCTTTGGGGGAGGAAAAGGAATATAATTGACACAATGGAGAAAGGAAGAAGATTTTTTTTTAAAACAGGTGAAGAGGACGAGACACAAAGACTGCCGCAGACAAACAAGGACAGGACCACAGAAGAAGAAGACAGAGGAGGACACCGTGGTTTTCCCTCACCAGTTCCCGCGGCAGGAAGACGTCCTCCTGCCGTGCCACCACCACGCACACACTCTGTCCCTGCCGGGTGCTGCGCAGCATGGACACCAGCTCCTCCTGGCTGCGGCCCGTCATGTCCACGCCGTTCACCTGGAGAAAAAAACACACACACACACACACACACACACACACACACACACACACACGTCCAGGTATGTTAAAGACAAACGTGTCAGCCTCTGGTTCCGTTTCTCTTCCCTCCGGCGGGGGCGGAGCCTCACCTCCAGGATGCGGTCTCCCGGCTGCAGGCGGCCGTCTTTGACCGCTGCGCCGCGGGGCAGGATGTTCTTCACCAGGATCGGCCCCGGCCCGTGGACCGAGGAGTCTCGGGTTACCACGGTGAAGCCCAGACCCTCGCCGCCTGCGGGGGAATTAAAGACGTGTTTAATTTATACGTTTTATTACTTTTAATTGAATTTTCCTGAACGTCCCCCCGCTCTGTCACTTTTCCCGGCCTCCCCTCCCCTCCTGTTGAACCCTTTTAAGCATCTTCCTTCACATTAACCAGTGTTTAAGTGGCTGTTTTCCTCTGGGGTGGGTGGGTTGTTGCCTGTCTCAGCCTCTGGGCCGCCGGGAGAAGGCTCCTTCTCCTCGCCGGATTAGACCGACTGCCTTTAATTTCACGTGTGAGCGGGCCGAACGGGAGCCGAGGACGGGAGGTAGAGGGAGACGATGGCAGAGAGAGGGAGAAGAACCTGGGAGATATTATCCCCTTCTCCGGCTTCCCTCCCCCCTGGGGATGTGACGCGGATTCCCACAAAGATTTTCCTTGTGTGTGTGAGCCTGCTTTTATCTGTTTGTGTGTGTATACATTTACAAGTGTGTGTATTTCTTAGGCCACACACACAAACAGACGCACGAGCCATCAACTTGCAGCCCCTCCGCCCCCTCTCCCTTTTTCACGGCCCCACAAGCCCCAAGCCATGAGTGAAATGTGCCACACTGGTTTGTGTGTGTGTGTGTGCGGGGGAGAGCAAAGCCGGCGTGGCATACTAAAGCCGGTGAGCGATGCTATCTGGTCTCCGAGCTAAGCCTCTGCCTGCCCTACATTAGCGCACCTAAACCTCAGCGCCTGTCAATCACGGGGGAGAAAGAGCCTGTTGCCAAGGGAGAGGGTGTTAGAAACCCCATAATATCCTCTTACTCTGATCTTCCATCAGGCGAAAGTGATGGAGAAAGACAAAAGGACGGAGTTCTAACAAAAGAAGGATGTAGAGTAAAGGTGAAGAAAATGGGAGTGATGAAAGGTGCGGAAGGGGGAGGGGGGGGGGGTTCCTAACAATAAAACGTCGGTGAATGGGGCTTGGAGTGTGCAGGCGCAATTTCTTCTCCCCTTTCATCTGCACCTTTTGTCGCCTTTCTCCGGGCACCTGTAGCAAGTGGTGGTGCACGCGGCCCGATTTCAGCGAGCCTTTCAATGGCGCTGATGTGTTTTACGGAGACGGTAAGTAAGATGATGCAGTCGGGGCTCAAACCACGTATGTAAGGTTACCCCATTTAGAGGAAAACACAACGAAAGCTTTAGTGGCACTTTATCTAAGTCCAGCTTATCCGACAATAAAAAACAATCTCACAAACTACCAGTTTTGTATTCGATCTTAATCCCAAAGACGTTAGGATTTACCTTTCTTCAGCTCAATCTTCATCTTCTTGCTGCCCTTTCTGTTGGTGAGGTTGGTCAGGCTGGGGCCGAGGCTCTTGCCGGCCGAGGGGGTCTGGCTTTGTGCCCGGGGAGTCGGGGGGGAGGCGAGAGGCGCGGGCGAGAGTCTCTCCGCGGAGCCGCGCCGGGGCCGGAGCTCCACCGACGGCACGGTGGTCGTCTCTGGCGTCCCAGCGCGCGCATCGGGCCGCTGCAACTCGGGCCGCTGCAACTCGGGCCGCTGCACCTCCGGCCGCTGCACCTCCGGCCGCTGCACCTCCGGCCGCTGCACCTCCGGCCGCTGCACCTCCGGCCGCTGCACCTCCGGCCGCTGCAACTCCGGCCGCTGCAACTCCGGCCGCTGCAACTCCGGCCGCTGCACCTCCTGCTTGGGCTCCGCTTCGGTCTTGGCGCGGGCCCCCACCGGGCTCCTGGCCTTCGCCGTCGCGGGTTCCTTGCCGTCGGCGCCAAAGAGTTGACCTATCAGGCTCTTCTCGTAGCGCGGCCTGCTGTCCGGGTGGAGTACCTCCAGCCGCACGGACGAGGACGGGGACGACATGGCCTGGCGGAACACCTCCTGTGACCTACGGATGGAGAGGGGAAAAAAGAGCTGCTTAACAAAAGGCCGCAAATGGCCGGTCGGACGTCGTGGCCTCCGCCTTCTGTGCCGCCGGCCTTACTCGGCGAAGGTCTTGTCCTGGAGGGGCGTGTCGTTGATCCGGACGATACACTCGTCCTGCTGGAAGATGTTCTCCTTTGCCGAGCGGCTGTTCTTCTCGATGCCTTTGATGTGCAGGCCCAAGCTCCTGGAGACACACAAAGAAAGAGGAAGTATGAATTCATGGAGGTAAGCACACATGACTACACGGCTGTGCATTTCTATGAGTCAACATTGCCATCTGCCTTTTCCTGATGAATGGCTGATTGACTACGAGTGGGCGCGGTGGGAGGAGAGTGTGCGTATTTGTGCATTGTGCGTGTCCTGCTTACCGTCCGCTGAGAGAGGAGCAGTACGGGATCACGTGGATGCCCAGAGGTCCCCAGTCACACGGAAACTCCACTGCCCTCGTCAGCGTGCTGTTGGCGAAACGCACACATTTGCTGTAAAGCTAGACAAACACACACACACACACACACACACACCATCTTGAAAGACCTAACGAAGGCGAGGATGCCCATGCATGCTATTATGACACACACTCTTCTAAATAAATGAGCATTTACCTCAAGGCCACACAGAGAGGGACGTGAATGAGCTCATTCATCAGACTCATAGGTTGGGTGGTTGCTCGGGATGCAGGGGGCCACTTCCCGTGATCTCAACCCCACAAATTTGTGTCATTTTGCCCCTAACTACACACAGCATGTTAAAAAAGCATTTTCAACCGACCCATACAGAGTACAACTTTAAGACGGAGCAGCGCCGGGTTCATTGTGCAAAGCAGTGACCTCAGGTGGAGGCCAAGAGACGACGGGGACGCCGCTCTCCAAGTTTCCCCGCAGGTGCCTTTCACAAACTGCAATGCAGTAATGAAAGCGCACACACACACACACACACACACACACACACACACACACACACACACACACACACACACACACACACACACTTCCCTTCACTCCTCTGTCACTCCCCCCCCTGCGCTCTCGTTAACCTCTGCCAGTCGGACGCATGCTGTACCCACACACAGATGTTCTAATTTACATTCTTATTGCGACAAACGCTCACAGTCAGTCACATCCCTCCAAATTGAATTCACAGAAACACACGTGAATGCGATTTACATCTATTAGGAGAGCGCCGAAACATCCGAGGTAGAAATTTGCACAAAACGTTTTTGTTGTAATGGTGAACAATCTAACCAGGGCAACACACCGGGGGGTGAAATACGTTTGTGGACGACGCGCACACCTGACTTCAGCTGTGGCACATTTACATCCACACAAAAACAAACTGGCTCATCAGAAGCGGCCGCACCTTGTTGCTGCCGCACCCCAATATGCAGAATTTTAGCGTCCGGCTGACACAAACACGAGCGAGAGGGGTTAGCGGGGGGGGGGGTGATAAGAGGAGCGAGACAGATGGAGCGCGCGCTCCTGGTTGACTTCTACGCCGGCGGAGGCCGGAGGGCCGCCCGACAGAACTCGCGAGGGCCCAGGGACTCTGCAAACTGTGCCCCCGCTCGCTCGCTCGCCGTGGCGCCTTGGACCGCCAACCATCTGTGGCCGCGGGCCGACCCTCGGCGGGAGCCCCGTCCTGGGCGCCGCTGCTCTGTAAACGTGTGCTAGAATTGCCATCTGTCGCCACAACATCTTGTTTTTTAAGAAACGATCTTCTCAACGTAAAAATATCACAAAATGATCCCTCCACTTGGGTCTCGGGCTTGACCGGTTCAGGGGACGGGCCGATGGGGTCTGTGACGGAGGGTGTAAGCCATTGTCGCGGCAACAGAGTGACCGACGGGGAGATAAAGATAAAAAAAGACATTGTGTCAGAGGTGCCTGAACTGTTAACTGATAACTAGGAGACGGATGTTTGTTATGCAAATGCAGCCTTTGGGCGGATTCCCCAGGACACGCAAGGCCGGGTTTTTACCAACTATTACATCTCCCGTGGATCGGTCACATGTAGGTGGGCCACTCATGTGGGGACCCCAGTCAAGCAGGGGGCGGGCCCGGGAGGGGTGGGGGTCCCAGGGGGCCTTTCGTTAACCAAAAGCTCTCAAGCGTACTGAATCAACAGTACTTGAGAATCAGCACATCACACGTTCATGTCCGTAGCCTCGCCTGGACTAACAGCAGCATTTTCTGTTGCATAAACACTTTTATAACATTGTTTTTCTCCAACCGGATGCATGAAATCTGCCGCGCCGGGATATTGCCTTGTCATGATGCTGACCAGCGTTCCCACCAAATTGAATGAACAGTGGAGGAACTTCCCTCCACCAGCACGCACAGGACAGATCAGAGCCCACCCCTTTGTTATGGGACACACACACATTCATGAGAGTGTTTAATCCAGTCACAACGTCAGGCTGTCAAACAAAGAAAGGAGCGTTAATCCCAGTCTCCAACACGGCTACACTGTCACACACACACACACACACACACACCGTATTCTTACCTGTAGTTCACTTTGCTCATCTTGGCGGGGGGGTCGTATGTGTGCAGTTGGTCCAGAGCTCCTTTCAGCACATGGTCGATTTCCTGTCAGGAGACATTCAGTCAGCATGATGACGTACACATACAGTGACAAATTAACAGTGTCCACATTAACGCACGCAGACACACACACACGCTCAACAAGCAGGAACCGGTCCGCGTGTACGAGGAGGCCCGTTTCCAATTAACGGAACCATCTCACGCCGCCATCAATCACCTTTTATCCGCAGACGGTCGAACAGAGAGCAGCCGCCGAGCTGCCGACCGCACGCCGTTGTCTTGCCCCTCACTCTACGTGTGTTCCGATCCGTCTACCTCTCCTTCCCTCCTTCCCTCCCCCACACACTCTCCCCCCCTCCCTCCCTCCCTCTCTCCATCCATCCATCCATCCATCTGTCCATCCATCCCTCCCTGCCTGTCAGGCGAGGCTCTATTTTTAAGTCAGCAAAACTCCACATCCCCCGGGGGGTCGCTGATAAGAAATATTGAATACAGCAAGAGCTGACACCGACATGGATACAGATGTCGGATGAAAGGAGGGAGACGGCGGCATCACACTGTCTGGCGGGCGAGTGGGAAAGAGACCGCAGCCCAGACCGTTAAGAGACTTGAGGGGACGCACTTACCGTCCTTCTGGCTCTTCGATTTCATTGTGTCATGCGGCAATAATGGCCGAAAAAACGTCCCGCCCACCAGCCCACTCCTTAGCAAGCCCCCCACCCCGACCGCCCCCCCGCCACCACACCCGGCTCCCCGGCGGACCCTCTGTCACACAACGGGTAAATGTACACGCTTCACATCACACACACACGCATACATTTAGTGTTAATATTAACAACAAGTATCGAGTCTGCAGAGCTGGAAATATTGAGGATGTGTATTTATGAACACAACCACACACATATTTGCTGCATACACAAAAAGTGACCCACTTATCTGGGCAGCATGCGATTGCCCCACAATAGTGTGTGTATGTGTGCGGGGGCAGGAAGACGAGCTGCTGGCTCCATTGTCGCTGTGCATCCTCCCGCAACGACGTTAGCTGCCAGGCTTGTCCTCCTTTGGTACACACACACACACACACACACACCCACGCTCGCGCACACACACACACACACACACACACACGTATTCTCACCATTGAGTCAAGGCTCACATGTGTACTCTCATCAAGCTCACTCATCCAGTTTTACAACATTCCTACCATGTAAGACAGCTACTACAGACAACAAACATACACTGACATGGAAATCCTTCTGTTTAGTGTTATATAAAGGTACGGTTGGGATACACACACACACACACACACACGCACCTGTCTTTCTTTGAGGGTTTTAAAATGAAGGGAATTGCGCCCACTGTGAATCTAATCCAGGATTGAGAGCACTGTTGTTTATCCACACGTTAAAGGGCTGGTGCTCGGCCACACACACACACACACACACACACACACACAGGATCGCATTGTAAAACGCTTACATATGTTTACCTATAAACAACATCACCATCAGGTACTGCATTGGCCCTTTAAGGCCTCTTCAGCCCCCCCCAATGACTCTCGAGACGTATTTGAGCTTTGATCAGGGAGCCACGTCGCTCCCCCTCTTTTTGAGAAGTTTTCCCCCTAAAAAAACTGCATCCCCCCCCCCCAGCTCGGCCAGTGCTCCCGCTCCAGCTGACCCTGTGACCCGGCCAGCTGTGCCGTCAGTTCACACCTCAACTCCTTGAACTCACACTTCAACTCCCATCGGCGCTTTCACTAGCTTCCTAGTTGTAACCGCACCTTCAACGCCTTCAGACGCCTAATTCAGTGGCGGCTTTTTTTTTGCAAAAGTGCTTCAAGAAAGTGAGACTGAGGGGAGGGGAGGGGGGGGGGGGATTGCAGCGCGGCAAGCGGAGCAGGCTTGAGGGACGGGGCGGCGTGCACGAGGTGTTTGTGTGGTGCGAGGTCGACGGATGAGTAATGAGGTGTGCTTTTTCTTCTTTTTTTTGTGCGATTCCTCCGGATGCAGCGGTCATCTGCTGCACATATGCGCCACGTCAGGGTCGAGGTGTCGGGGGGGTGAGGGGGGGGACGCGCCCGTGTAACGTTTGTGTAAGAAAGAGCATGTTTCCATGTACACACGCCGCGGGATCGCAGCTTCGCCGTGCTAGCCGGTGCTCCTTGACCTCCATCGCATCCATCACATCAGCTGCACACACACACATACGCACACACACACACACGCAAACACACACACAGACAAAATGTGGTTTAGATGGCGGGGTGGGGGGGGTCCAATCCGGGCGGAAGGGAAACATCACAGTCAGATTCTCGGCTGTGTTAACGCGCATCGCATCACTGCACCTCCAGGTGTGGAAAATAAGCCCAAAACTGCGGGCGGGTGAGCGTGGGAGAGGAGTGACATCGCGAGGATTACAAAATAAAACCTGTGAGGACGGGGGAGAGGGGAGGCGG